GGTGCCTCTTTCACAATCCAAGCCCTTAGGATTTATTCTATCACTTTTCGTACTATCATTTCCGACTAGTAAATTCAATACTAAGCCATAAATCTTTAAGCCACCAAGCTCTCTAATTCTTAGTTGTAAGGTTCATTCCTTTGAATTTCCCAATCCGTATATGATTTAATCTCAAGATCAAAATATCACTTTTATCCATTCATGATTTCTATACATGAAGTAAAAGTATATTTTATCACAATAATTCATGGTTTATACAATCATCATACCCTCATACTTATAATGCATAACCATACACCATTTATACATAAATTTGTATATTATGCATCCTCTATTCATAAACAACAACATTTTCATTTAGGCATTATTAATCATTAATAATCCATGAAAATCACATTTAATTAACTTAGGTAATCTTATGAAATTAATCCAAGGATTATAAGCAATATAGTCAGCCATCCTCACCTTATGAAGTGCCGAAATAGTCGCCTTTGTTAAGCCCTCCGATCAATCCCCGTTCTAAACCAATTAGAAGCTAGAACTGGACTGCCTGGACAAAAGCCGGCCGGCTTTGGCAAAAGCCGGGCGATGTTCGTCTGTCTGCAATACGAACAACTTCTTCTTCTTGGCGGTTTCCGGTGGTTTCAACTCCTATCGATTCCACGACTCTTCTAAGTTAAATACCACCACATTATAACAATATTCTACACTTTTAAACATGTAGAACTTCATGTTTAATCCATCGTATGATTTCTTAAAAATCATACAAGAGTAATACTAGTTAAAGAACTTATGGGAGTTCTTACCTTCAACACAAGTTATCTCTTGCTGGATTATCTAGTTCCCTCCTTCAAAGTTGTTGTTTTGAGAGAGTTTTTCCAAGCTTTCTCTGGCTCCTCTTGTCCGTATGAGGTAGAAGGCAAGGGGAAATATCCTCCTTCAATCAAACCCCAATCAAAGTGTAGACAAGCCAAAAAGAGTGGGTGCTTGTCTAGTACATCATCTCACTCAAAGTCCGCCCAACCATGTTAAATTGTCTCTTCCCAATGATTTTTGGGAGTCATTTGACTGGTAGAATATCTCAAGTGGGTGTAGGAAGTCCCTCCCAATTATTCCTGCTATTTTCGGAGGGTTGGGCCAAAATAGCACTCGGGTTGTCCAAACGTTTTTTCCCAACTTTTGTTGGCATTTTATTGGGCTTCTATAATTATTACATTGACCTGAATAAATATTTGGTAGCCCATTCTCAATATTATGGACCCGATAATTAATTTAATTAATCGTACATTAATCAAATATGCCAATCGATTACACGAATTTTATTCGTTAGGAAATGCAAATACACATCAACTTTCAAATTCAAGCACTACAAAAATATCAATCAATAGTGACGAAAATTAACGATAGTAACAAAAACCCCTCATTAAATGTAAACATTTTAGACGTTTTAATGAGAGTAAAAAGAAACCGTAGCTAATACTTATGTAATTGGTCATAGAATTAGAAAACCATAACATCTCCCGTCATTATTACTTATCAAAAGATATTTTAGCTCCAGTTATCCCCAACTCTAACAAATAAATACAGAGTATAAGCTAGGGTTCTTTTTAACCTAAAAAAGCTAGAGTTCGTTTTTGAGATACCCCTCCTCCTTCGCGCCGCAGGTTCGCAACGTGAAATCCACCACTCGCCGCGAATCGAAATCCACCGCTCACTGTACTCGAAATCCGCCACGCACTCGCTGCTACTCCAAATCCACCGCTCGCTGCACTCGAAATCCGTCACTCGCTGCTACTCCAAATCCGCCACTCGCTGCAACGACCATGAATGGTGTCGATGGACTTTGCCTAATTCATCTCCGCTGGATTTTTGCACTAATGTTGACATAGCATTTTTTCTCGAGATGGCATCAGATTGGTGCATTTACATATGGGTATAGAGTATTTCTTTTAATTTCTGAGTACTAACTTTTGTGCATACTTCAATCTCATGTGAATTGCATCTATATGAGGTCTGGTGTTCCAAATTCATCTAATTTTAATCCAAATTAAGGTTTCATCCTCTGTTAAGTGTATTGAATTTTTTGTTCCTTTGTAATGTAAAAATGTTGTCCAATTGGTTAAGGATATTGGCTTAATTGTGTGGTTCTGGACATTTAAAATCATAGTGCTGCAAGTTCAATTTTTTTTTTTGCAAAAAGCTATTACCTTTGCTATCTGAAAGCTGTTTAACAGATGCTTAAGTTTAATTCTTCTAGCCTAAACCAGGTGTGTCACTACTTTTAGCTTTGTGATAAAATCACAACTTCATTTGATGAAAATGGATGTTTTGTATTATGTTCTGAATTCTCAAGACTTAATTTACAAGACCTCTAATATTGTTTACACTTGTATACATTTCAGGTTATCCGAATATCTAAAATTGCATGACCAGATTGTTCGGTTGCTATAAGTAATGTGTTTTTAGTTTACAGTTTTTTGAGTAAATTTCTTAAATTTTCTTTGCACTTGAAATCTCTGTTTCCTCTCTGAAAACAGAAAGAATGTATGTTTATTTATACAGAAACAAGGTATGATTGGCTAGGGAGGGAGGGAGGGATCAACTGAACTTGGACAAGGTAGATTGGACCAATTTAAAGGACTGAGAGGTAGGGGCTTGTGAAGTTTTAATTAGTGTGGCTGCTCCTTGTCTCCTTGTTGATTCATTGATATCTCTTGTGATATTGATTATATGCTGGTTTATAAAATGTGTGTGTGTGTTGTCTGATATTTGAATTTTTTCAGGAATTCTATGAAGGCATGTGATGTCACTATTGAAGGTAAAAACTGTTCAAACACAAAAGAAGCATGGATTTGGAAAGCTTAGTTGACCAATACAGCAAATGGAAATCTTAAAATGCTCAAGTATAAAAATCCATCAATTGCTTCCCTGCTGAAAAAACAGAGAGAAGTCCATGGATTGAATGCCGAGTTAGATAGCATAAATGTGAGATTGTGATGTTTATAGCTTGAATCCATCTGTGTGTAATAACAATGTGAATTCCCATTTTTAAGTGTGTAATAACAATATGAATTCCCGTTACAGATGTTAAAAACTTGTGTTGTTAATCATTAAAATTGTGTTTGTTATATTGACCTTTTTGTTTCTGTATTTCCTTGTAATAATAGTTATAAATTTCATTACAACACACATTTGCAACCAAAATTGAATATTATTTAATGACCAAAAAATATTTTAATAATATGAAATTAGTGGTCGGTATTAATTATGGAGAGGATACCATTCTCGAAAAAGTTTTTAATGAGGGTATACTTACTCTCATCCTACATTATTTAATGATGGGACTATCCCGTCATTATATGTCTTTAACTACGGAAGCAGTAGTGAGAGGCCATGACAGGATATTTCCTGTCACTAAAAGGTTTTTATGACAGTATTTGGACTTTTAACCACGGTATATCCTTTCATTACTGAGGAAGTTTCTTATAGTGAAGTACATACGGGCGCGGTGTCACACAAGGTGTGTTAAACATTTAGAGGCCAATCTGCCTTTGTACGATTGTATAAAGGTTGTAACACCGACTTATGAATAGAAGCATTGACCGATAATGCACTATAATAAGTTTCATGAAGCCGAAAACTCAATAATATTGTTTTAGATTGTCAACAATGTATTATTGAACCACTTTTATTTTTTTTCCAAATATCCACTTTTTTGTATACTTTTAAAAAGTGAAATGTGATTGATAGTATAGAATATACAATTAATATATGATTAACATTTTTAACTGATTCAATAATGAAACTGAATGGAAAAACGTAATAGTCTGATTTTTAAATAATTTAAGAAAATTACCTAACTTGAAACCAAAATTTGTAGTTTTTCTAATCCAACTTTCATTTAATTATAAAATATTTGGTTGATGAACCTGAACACCGGATCTAAAGAAGGTTAATCCTGCAAAAATTAGGCAAAGTGTAAAATACGATATAAATGGATATAGATGTGAATGGATCGAATGCTCGATTACTTATTTACTCTGTAGTTGAGAACAGAATTTAGGAGAAACATTGACCTTCATGCAGAAGATTGTTCAATATCAATTGTATGTTGCTCACGTGTTATTAATTGGTCAAATTGAAGTGTTATTAATGTAAGAAAACAATATTTAATAGAAGGAAGTATTTGAGAATTTGTAAAACTTTTAATTATTGGGCCAAAAATCAAATACATCCCTAAATTCACTGTAATTGCTCAATTTGCTCTCTGAACTGAAACAATGTTCAATCGGAATCACAACTCACCAAATTAAAATGATTCAAAATTCGATTTTAATTGGTAAGGACCCATTTAAAAGCTGACTCAACGGGTAACATGCCAAGATGCAAATATCTATCCGTTAATGACAAATATATGTCTATTGAAGGTAGTGGATAAAAATGTGATTTCATATACTTTATTGACTATACATCTATATAAATAACTTTAGTAACCATAATAATGTGTTTGTTTATACTATAGTGACTGTGACGGTTCATTCATAATAACTTTAGTCATATTTTTATCTATAAGTTTATTGCATTGATATTTAAGAATAAACTCTTTATGACTTTATCTATTAGAATTTGCGGCGGATGTAGAAGGGCCCATTCGAGCTCCGTCCACCACAAATTTGAAATTATTTACGGAGTATATTTTAATATAAAAATTTGTCTAAAAAAACTTTGTATTGGTCCACCCCGACCTTCACCCCTGACTACACCCCTAATTAGAGTTACCATAATTTTAAATATTTTTAAAAAAATATCATCACGTGCATCGCACGGGTACTATACTAGTTTAGTTAAAAGGCACAACCTTGGTCCGTAATTAATTTATTCATCCAATATAAAATATTATCAATACCAAGATAAATATAATGTGGCCACGGAACACTTAAGGATGCTCCTGTGCCCCGATGTGGACCCCACGCATAAATTTAGTACTTATAAAGTTTAGATAAGCAGAATGAATTATCCATCTTTATTCGTCACACTTTCAAATTTATTACATTTAACCGACAAAAATTTTACACCCGGGGGACGATGGCACAAGTTTACCCCCCTAAAATGGGATTTCGACCCTGAAATCCACTTGACTAATCAAAGAGAAATGGGAGTTGCTCTTTCATCGAGGCTTTGATCTCCCACGTTTCTTCCTCGACTCGGTTATTTTTTCAAAACACTTTTAGCATTGGACAGCCCTGCTCCTCATCTTCTTTGTTTATCGGTCCATAACCATCACCGGTTGCACTACATACAGTAAATCTTCAAGTATCTCCATCGGGGTGATGGATAGTGTACCGGGAGGTAGCTTATCCGAAGGGTTATTGCGGGAAATAACCTAGAGAGAAGTCAGAGCAAGCAAGTAAGAGAGAGACAGTCAAATATATTAAATGAACTCGAGATGTTGGGATCCTTTACAAGGGGAAAGGGGCTGCTAATTATAGCAGCCATAAATGTTAAGCACATACACGTGTCGCTAATCTAACGACCGAGGGTCACCTCTATCAGGGTGGCACGGGCATTCGCATGTGCACCGCATTAAATGCGGTGGTTGGACGTGATGCCGCATTGAATGCGGTGGTTTGTTGATGTGTGTTTTCTCGCACTTAAAATAGTTGTAGAACAGTGGTGTAAAGTACGAGTATCGTCTCCACAGGGACGGACAAAAGGGAAATAAAGATTAACTAAACTTAGCGATTAAAAAGAAATAAATAAAATAAAAATGCAATTGTGCGAGATTGGTTGATTGATTAAACTAAAACTAATGCTAATGAGCGAATAAAAAGATTTGGTTTTCCTTAATTAACGATGAAGGGAACAGGAATTGATTCCGGGGTTAACCAGATTTCTGGCAGAACAGGCCTAATCACATCAATTTAATTTAATTGAGCCTAGCTAATCATTACTAAGTTCTTACCGCTCTCGCGGCGTAGAGTACAATAATTTAGGGGTCCAGGCTGATCTCTCATGCGACAAGATCCTACTAAATTATTGCCAAAACGAGCGAGCTTACGGCCCCTTAATCGCTACTAATCTCTTAGCGAACGATTAAGTGTGTGGGAATGTGTCCTAGAACAAATTAGATCTCTCTTAATTTATTCTATAAGCAATTGTAATTCTAGTGGCCATCTAGGTTACAAGAGATATCAGTTAAATTATTCATACACAAATTAAACGGCATTCATGCAATTAAACCGACAAGAATCTAGCCATCAATCATGATTAACCCCTTCATCAACCCCAAATCCCTAATTAAACTACTCACGCCTCATAATTGACGAATCAAAAGAATTGGGATGAATAGAAATAATTGTCATTAATTAAAGAATTGAACTTACAAAGAATCCCAGGTTCTTGGATTAAACAACGTAAAAATGCAGGTAAAACTCGTCCCTAGGCCTCTATCCAAAGTTCGTAACCCCGAAAAGTGGGTATGGAGGCCTTATTTATAGAAATCAACAAATTTGGGTCGAATTAGGACAAATCGCGGCCAGGCACGGTGCCAGGCACGACCGTGCCTGCGACCGTCCCTACGGAAGAAGGCCGAATTTCGCGTCCAGGCACGGCGTGCCTAGCTGTCAGGCACGACCGTGCCTGGCCTCCAGTAGCTCGGTTCCTCGATAAATTCCAGGCACGGCGTGCCTAGCTGCCAGGCACGGCGTGCCTAGCTGCCAGGCACGATCGTGCCTGGCCTCCAGTAGCTCGCAGGATAATTTCGCATCAGGCACGGCGTGCCTAACTCCAGGCACGACCGTGCTTGACCCTATTCTTCACTTTTCCTTCGTTTTCTTGCTCCAAACGCTACCGGATGCCTACGAGGTCGATCCAAATGCTCTTTCTTCATCAGAATTTCGTCGTGAATCTCTCGGTGACCTCCAAATCTCTCAAATCTTTCTTGAACGCCTTCAAATCCTTCCCGAATGCCTTTCAAGCGTCGATTGCCGGACTCAAACTTCTTCAAATCAACTCCAAATGCAATGAAACTCGATCCAACGCCTGTTAAACACAACTTGAGCCAAAATTGAGACTTGCAACGCCTTAAAGCCAGGAAAATCATCAAAATTCGATCCGGACACGCATCAAATGCGTGTCTAAATACGGACTTATCAAACTCCCCCATACTTAAGCTTTTGCTTGTCCTCAAGCAAATCGAACAACGGGACTTACGATAATCACCACACAGAATTTAAAATAGTTAGCATACACACGTAGTTAAAGGGATATTCACAGGACAGACAATCTAAACCAAGAAAATTCTTCCCTAAACTACACCTTTGTACTCAAGCTAAACTATTTGACACAATCATTCACAACATCCTCAAAGTAATGACAGCATACACAAATAAGCTAGCTACTGATCAGAAGGACTTGTGACTTTGATGGTGAATGGTTAATGATAATAGTCCCTTTATTTTGAGAGCTAGAAATATTCTAACAAAGACTTAATGTATTTAGGAACTTCAAAGTTATTCTTAGGAACATGGAACTCAGTAGGCCACAAATTAGGAACAATCATTTAAGCCTATGCAACGAGTAGACATGGTGTACAACTAAGCTAAACCGTCTCGGCACTTTTGTGCTTTGACGTATACTTGAAGTACGAGAAGGACTAAAGCTAATTTTTCAATAGCCTCCAAATTCATTATTTATGTTTAGTTTTCCATGTCATGTTGGCACGAGAACACCGTTTCTTTCGAAAGATACCCAAGTCTCATCTTACGATTTTTGACCGGGGCTCCCATTCCCTTTTTCGCAAAGTAAGAGGTCTAGCTATATTAATTTTTCACCTTTCGGATTCTCACTAGACATTACCCCATTCTAATCACGGCCTCACCAAGGAAAAAATAGCAATTTAAGTTCATTTATTTAAAAGTGAATCCATGCCTACAATGCAATCTTCGAAAGTATCATATTCCTAAAAAGTGACTGCTCTTACCCCATTTGGGGCATAGGAACAGTGCCAAAAATGGCTCCTACACACAATTCCCTAAACTTAACAAATTACTCCCTTAATTCCCTAAACATCAAGACTAAGTCAGAAATATTCACGGGTAAGGAAACAGGCCATTTGGCTATGGAGCTTAATTAATTGGGTAATCAATAAACGGTCAGGCTCAAAATGGCTTCTCCTAAAGGGTTCTTTCAGGCGGGGTAGATGATTAATGGAAAATTCAATGGATGACTAATGCCTTCATCCTCTCAACAAATAGATTATAGTGCAAGCAATTTAAGCCTAAACACTTCAAAGATGTTCTAAAAACATAGTCAAAACGCTAGCCAGCTCACAAAGACACAGTTTAAAGAAAAATTCTCAAAAATTTTGCATGAATTTCCTATGAATATACAACTAACACCTGCGCATGCTAACTTTAGCCAATCACATGTAACAACTACTGCCCGAATGCCCAATTCACTCCCCCACACTTAAACTTTGGCATCGTCCTCGATGACCAAAAATGCACTATGCACAAGGGGGTAAAGAGGATAGGGACACGCATGCTCAACTTAACTCAAGTCATTATTACAACAAACGAGTAAAAGAGTCAAAGAAACTTCCCTATTGCGCTGGTCGGTGCAGAACTAAACTTAGTCAATGTAATCCTTGGCACATTACCCATATAACAAGACCCTGAGCTGCAACAAAAACACAAAGCAAAACAACCAAACAACAAACAAAGAAAAAAAACAAAAGTAGAAATAAGCTCGGGTTGCCTCCCGAGAAGCGCTATTTTTAACGTCGTTTGTCCGACGATACCTCGTAAGCTCTTAAATAGCAAAGACTGCAGTGGTGCACTTATAGTCAACGTCTCCAGTTTCCTCTCAACAAATGCCATTAGGTGTCGCGGATCTTTAAACTCTTTAGTCCACGTAGGCAACACATGGTCTTCATAACCCTCATCAGCACAGAAGTGAAGTATGAAACTCTCATCCTCGTAATCAAACTGCACCATAGAAAAGTCCTCTTCTTCCTCACAGATATCATGAACATTCACAACCTCTCCTCCGGACTCTGTATCACTCCCCATGAAGGAATCCCAACTCTCGTTAACAGCGTTCTCATCAGGGTCTTCAAAAACATCAGGAAGTGTATCATCCGCCATATTCCCACCTTCGCAGTCCGACTCACTCACATGATCATCCATATTGGTTTCCTCAGGTTGGGCTTCTGTGTCTCTAGGATGAGATCTCTTGGACTCCTCAGATAAAGCCTTTATAATCTGCCCCAATTGATTCTCCATGTTCTGCATCCTTGTGTTTGATTGCTGTTGAATTTCCATGCACGCCTCAATTGCTTGCATGACTTGCCTGAGTGTTTCTTCCATGTCAGACAGCTTCTCTGAAATTATCTCTTCCACTTCATCCTGTGGCTCATAGCTCGGCAAAGACGTAGGAGTGACTGAAACATTTGTGTTCGTAAATTGTGGGGAGGAAGAAGTGGGGTAAGCAGTTTCCTGGAAAGGATGGTCATATAGAGGTTTGATGGGGCAAAGACATAAATGGTGATCTCCTCCACAGAAGGAACAAATGATATCCTTAAAACATTCAGATATTTCCTCAGGCGTTTTATTTAGAAGCATAAATTCAAGAATGGAGCCTCGTCTTACGCTTACCCAAGGGTAATGTGATGAAGGATAGTAAGAATCAGAATGAAAGGGTTGTGTGGTTGGAGTGTACGGATAAGAAGGATGAATGTTTTGTGGCGTAGGAGAGTAATTTTGATGAGGTGTGTAATATTGAGGAGGAGTGTAAGGAGGGTATGGCGTAAATGGTGAATATTCCATGGAGGTTTGAGGGTAAGGAATTTCTCCAGGAATTTGGCTGAATGGGTTCATCTCATGCCTCTTAGAAAAATACCTGAAAGGTTAGCACAGAAAAATCCCACGGAAAAACTAAAAGAAAACTAACTAAAAAAAATCTCGCTGAAATTAATTAACCCTTAAAACCGACACCGTCCCCGGCAACGGCGCCAAAAACTGATGTGTGTTTTCTCGCACTTAAAATAGTTGTCGAAAAGTGGTGTAAAATACGAGTATCGTCTCCACAGGGACGGACAAAAGGGAAATAAAGATTAACTAAACTTAGCGATTAAAAAGAAATAAATAAAATAAAAATGCAATTGTGCGAGATTGGTTGATTGATTAAACTAAAACTAATGCTAATGAGCGAATAAAAAGATTTGGTTTTCCTTAATTAACGATGAAGGGAACAGGAATTGATTCCGGGGTTAACCAGATTTCTGGCAGAACAGGCCTAATCACATCAATTTAATTTAATTGAGCCTAGCTAATCATTACTAAGTTCTTACCGCTCTCGCGGCGTAGAGTACAATAATTTAGGGGTCCAGGCTGATCTCTCATGCGACAAGATCCTACTAAATTATTGCCAAAACGAGCGAGCTTACGGCCCCTTAATCGCTACTAATCTCTTAGCGAACGATTAAGTGTGTGTGAATGTGTCCTAGAACAAATTAGATCTCTCTTAATTTATTCTATAAGCAATTGTAATTCTAGTGGCCATCTAGGTTACAAGAGATATCAGTTAAATTATTCATACACAAATTAAACGGCATTCATGCAATTAAACCGACAAGAATCTAGCCATCAATCATGATTAACCCCTTCATCAACCCCAAATCCCTAATTAAACTACTCACGCCTCATAATTGACGAATCAAAAGAATTGGGATGAATAGAAATAATTGTCATTAATTAAAGAATTGAACTTACAAAGAATCCCAGGTTCTTGGATTAAACAACGTAAAAACGCAGGTAAAACTCGTCCCTAGGCCTCTCTCCAAAGTTCGTAACCCCGAAAAGTGGGTATGGAGGCCTTATTTATAGAAATCAACAAATTTGGGTCGAATTAGGACAAATCGCGGCCAGGCACGGTGCCAGACACGACCGTGCCTGCGACTGTGCCTACGGAAGAAGGCCGAATTTCGCGTCCAGGCACAGCGTGCCTAGCTGCCAGGCACGACCGTGCCTGGCCTCCAGTAGATCGGTTCCTCGATAAATTCCAGGCACGGCGTGCCTAGCTGCCAGGCACGATCGTGCCTGGCCTCCAGTAGCTCGCAGGATAATTTCGCATCAGGCACGGCGTGCCTAACTCCAGGCACGACCGTGCCTGACCCTATTCTTCACTTTTCCTTCGTTTTCTTGCTCCAAACGCTACCAGATGCCTACGAGGTCGATCCAAATGCTCTTTCTTCATCAGAATTTCGTCGTGAATCTCTCGGTGACCTCCAAATCTCTCAAATCTTTCTTGAACGCCTTCAAATCCTTCCCGAATGCCTTTCAAGCGTCGATTGCCGGACTCAAACTTCTTCAAATCAACTCCAAATGCAATGAAACTCGATCCAACGCCTGTTAAACACAACTTGAGCCAAAATTGAGACTTGCAACGCCTTAAAGCCAGGAAAATCATCAAAATTCGATCCGTACACGCATCAAATGCGTGTCGAAATACGGACTTATCATTTGTCTGTCCCCAAAGGGAATCTTCACTGCGTGTTCCATAGCTGAAGGCCTATATCGTGGACGAAGGCTCAATATGGCCGAAGGCTACCCATGTGCTGAGGGCGCCTAGGAGCCGAAGGCTCTTATTTTCTGCATTTTTCTCCCAGTAGCTTTGTATGCTCAAATCTAGCTGCTCTATGGAATTTAGAGCCCTCGGCTATAGGGCCGAAGGCACCACTATGTGCACCGTGGGCTTTTTAATACTTGGGCCGCTATGTTTGGGCTTTTTGAGCTCATTAGGCTTGATGGGCCTGTGTAGGAGAAGTAGGAGTCTATGGGCTGGGGGTCCCTGGGTCATATACTCCATCAGGGTGCTTCTCGAGAGTATGTGACGGATCTCGCACATACTTTTTAAGCATTGAAACATGAAACACGTTGTGAATCTTCTCTAGTTCTGGAGTTAATTGAAGACGATATTACACGACCCCGATCCTCTCTAGGATCTTGAACAGACTGATATAACGCGGGTTGAGCTTACCTCGAGTAAGGAATCAAATAATTCCCTTCCAAGGCAACGCCCTTAGGAATACCTTATCCCCGACTTCAAACTCCGCCAACGCCCTCCGACGTTTATTCTCATAGCTCTTTTTCCAATCTTGGGCAACCTTGAGTCTATCTCATATAGTCTTCATCTGACACCTCTCCCATTTTGAACCTGGATTTTTTTTATAGAGAAAATGACTTATATTAAGACCATAGAATCCAACCAAACAACAACAAGACCAGACACGATAGACAAACAAGAAAGACTAGAAAACATTACTCATACCCTGGGACCACACTCAGAATTTATCACTCACTCAGGAGCAATAAGTTTAATTTCGATAATCCCCACTTGGACAACTGTAAGCCAATCATGATCGATGGTGTATTTTCATCACTTATCCTATAATGTACTTGCCACGTGCCAAAAGTAAAAATCAAACAAGAATCACCTAGGGAAAACAACACTAGATAAAAGCATAATTCACACGAATTAAAGGAAAAGCCAGAAATAAAATAGAGTACTTTAATGTAAAGACCTGCAAGCAGACCCAGGCGGCGGCTCAGGAGGGGGGAAAACCGTCGATCTGTCTTCTCCCTTGTTCAGCCCTTCACCACTCCCCATCTACTCATTGCTCATGTTGCCTCCACATTTGTCCATTATTTTTAGCAACATCCGTCGTCTCTTGTATGCTACGGCTCGCACTCTGATCGCGATCCAAATCCCCAACAAGCATGCTTCCTACGTCGGCCAAGACAATAGAGAAATGACACTCAAAAGTTCCAGCCTCCTACCCGTCGCACACTCTACCCAAACCCTGTAGCAGGAGTTCCAAAGTTGCCCCTTAAATTGGCGCCGAAAAATTGGCCTAAACTAGCCGCACGCTCGTGCGACGGAAAGACAAAACCCTACACTTAGAGCGAGGGAGCTCTCCAAAACCTAGAGAGGGAAGCTCTTTTTTATTCGGTTCATCAATTGAACGTTTGTTATAATAGGTAGTTGTACTATCCCTATGTTGTTTGAACCTGGATTATTATTCCTTAATAATAAAATTTATTTGAAAACTATAAATACTAATTACAAAAAGAATAATTGGTAGACTTCATGAATATAATATTATTTTGAAAACTCGTTAATTACTAGTATATTAATCACATCATGAATGATTAATTGAGTAAATTAATAGTGTTTAATTATATTCTCAGTCCATGTTAAATTAATAAAGAAGCACAAGAATAAGCAAATGAGTAATATAAGAATGATTGGGCCGAATAAAAGGAAATGAGCAATACAAGAGACCATTGGGCTTCGAGTCCGAAATATTGGGGGGACTACCCAGTAAATTTTAGGATGACGGGTAATTCTAAATACACACCATTTTTTACTAACTGCAGCCTCCGTTTAAAACAAATTAGTTACTTTTACAAATTTACCCTTCCTAATAATATACTCCGTATTCTTTTCTATCGGTAAAGTAAGACCCCCAGTCTTCATCACAGACTGCACCACCGCACCATGTGTCTCTTCACCCACCGGCCATCGCAATGCTCCAGAAGATTCAGATTAAAGCCAGGTAAAAAAACCAGCACTTTTTTATTATTTTTATTTTAAGAATAAAAGTAAGTACTTAGTAATCCTCCTGATGCTCAATTGTTCATCACTACTTAATACATATACTCTACTTCTATTCATTTGATTCATTAAAATTTCATTACACAAAGAACTTCCATTAATAAACTCAATCAACTCATTCAGAGGTTGAGCCTGCATCTCAGCATCTACTTGTATAAATTGCTCAATCGTTTTTTAAACTGAATTTAAAATATGTAGTATCCTTCAACTAATAGTTTTTAAGAATTACTTCTTAACAAAAAACTTCCTCTCATGGACTAGATTCAATATGGGAACAAACGGAATTCCATATACCAGCAACAAATCCGGCGAAGTGGGGAAGAGCATGACAATTGCGCCGTGAAAAGAAATGGGTTTCTTTGGTGTCAAAGATGGCTTTTTTTAACTACGGAGTGATCGGCGTTAGCGCCGAGGAGGAAGTGGTCGCCGTTGAAGATGGCCTTGTGATAAGAGAGTCAAGGAAAACAGTTGTGTTGTAAACTTGTAATAAGGGTACTATAGGTATTACGAAAATAATGGGTTGCACTTAGTAAATACGTGTTTGTATTTAGAATTGCCCTAGATCATTAATTAAGCCAAATTAATTCTTTCTCTGCATTCATATCGCGCCCAGTCCAGTCTGACGATCACAGGCCAGGGGCAGGAGCTGCTTACGATTCTCAGTTGCCGTTGTACGGACGAGATTGAATCTACAATAACCGATGCACCGCCCTCCCATTCTCATTACCCCTCTTTTCCGTTTCAACTCCACATATTGCAACGTTCTAGGAAAGTGATTCGAAGAACGAGCAGTAATCTATGTAGGAAATCCTTAAAGAGAAATAGATTTCGAATTGATTTGGTTGATCAACATAAGAGAAATGAAGGAAGAAGGAAGAAATTCGTATTAGTTCACGCATACGTACATATGAGCTGAAACAGGCTAATATACCCCAGGATCGCTAAGGTAGCTATCCGAAGTTAATAGACACTAGTAACATAACACCAGCCACTTCCAAACAGCCTAGCCCATGCGACCCACAAACACACACCAAAAGCCCAATAAAAGGAAAAATACAATGTATTCATAACAATCCACCCCATACAAATACACCTTGTCCTCAAGCTGTCATGTTTCTTTCCACAAACCCCGGAAATCTCTTTGTTAGCTCATCATATTTCTCCCAAGTGGCGTCTTCCTTGTTACCATTAGTCCATTGCACAAGCCAATAAACTACACCCTTCACTAGTGGAAAAACGCCAAACAGAGGCGCTTCATTAGAGGCGCCTTTCAGCCAAAGCGCCTCTATTAGTCGAAATTTTATTTTTTAATATTTTTTTACAGAACTGTGCGGCGCTTTTTATGATAAATCGCCTCCAAATAATTCCCAAATTATTTTTATACTTAAAAAACTAATGATGCGTGCGACGCTTCCTACTCAAAAGCGCCATCAATGAACCGTGCGTGCGGCGCTTCAGGCCCAAAGCGCCTCGAATAAAAAAACAGATGGGCCGGAATTTTCATTGGAATTGGAAATAGGCCTGAATAAGAGCTACAACAATATCGTGATTTAATGTACGGCTCTTTTTAATCCACTTTTGTGTGGTGGTGTCTGGATCTAGATCTGGATCGATAATACATATCTCCCCTGACTATATCTAAGATTCTGAGTTAAGGCCGATATCAAGGATGGCCGAACTTGCTATCACCGCCAACGACAACGCAACTGTTGAATATGTGGTTTTGTTAATGACTAACCATGTAGGTGGAATGGCGGACAGAACCGCTCACAGTTCCTTCAAGAACAAAGGATAGAGCTTGACAGAACTGTTCTTTAATTATAATTAGATACGTGTCTGCATGAGCATGCCTTGCCGTTTGTGATATCTTATGTGTGTTAATATATTTCCATATTTGATTTGATATTATGTTGAATACATTGATATGTATAGTTTATGGAAAGCTTTCTTGCTAACTTTATTATGGTGAACCGAAGCTTTTGAATGTGCTAAAGAAAGGGGTTGTCTTACTTTAAATATTAAGTAAATATTTTTACTTTATTGCTAAGTATCCGTATTGATTGGACTTAACCTTTATGAGATAAATGATTTGCTTTATGGAAGTTGACCATGTGATTCCTACTTGATAAAGTAAATATTTTCTTACCATAAAGATATCTTTAATTAAGATATTTTATTGAGATATTTTAAGTGTTTGTTGGCATGGACCGTTTCATGCTTTTTATGGTAGATTAAATTATTTCCTTGCTCCACTATGTTAATTATAAATCTATAGGGAAAAGGGGCAAATAAGCCCTCGAACTAATAAAAAAAGTGCATATAAACCCTTTTGTAGGAGGTTTTGTCTGATCATCGTCATTTGGGGAGGTTCTCGGTGGAATTTTTTGATGAATTTTTTTGAGCATCTTCTTCATTAAGTCTAGTTTAGCCATACCAAATTTCAGCTAAAAATTCAAACGGGAAGACACTCAAATGATTTTCGGAACTACACTGCGTTGTTTAACTGCACAGTTATATTAAAAAATTCATTTGAGTGTCTTCCCGATTGATTTTTTAGCTGAAATTCGGTATGACTAAACTAGACTTAATGAATAAGTTGCTCAAAAAATTTCATAAAAAAATTCCACCGGGAACCTCCCCGAATGACGATAGACAGACGAAACCTCCTACAAAAAGGCTTATTTGCACTTTTTTTATTAGTTCGAGGGCTTATTTGCCCTTTTTCCCTAAATCTATATAAATGCATGGTTTTGCATGGATTGTGATACATAAGCTTTATGTATAGAATTAGTTATGAGTAACTAAGTATGATATAGACTCTATCTAGGTTGATAGAAGGTTGATCATAGGAAAATATTTTGGTGGAGGACCCTAGTACTTAAAAGTACTTAACACTCAAAATTTGGTGGAGGACCCTAGGACTTAAAAGTCCTTAACACTCGGATTATAAATTGGTGGAGGACCCTAGGACTTAAAGTCCTTAACACTCGGATTATAAAATTTGGTGGAGGACCCTAGTACTTAAAAGTACTTAACACTCAAAATTTGGTGGAGGACTCTAGTACTTAAAAGTACTTAACACTCAAACTTGGTGGAGGACCCTAGGACTTAAAAGTCCTTAACACTCAAACTTGGTGGAGGATCCTAGTACTTAAAAGTACTTAACACTCAAAACTTGGTGGAGGACCCTCGGACTTATGAGTCCTTAACACTCACAAACCGGCGGAGTACCCAAGGATTATGATCCTCAAAACTCAAAGATTATGATATTGAAATAGAGACAATGAGGAGTTTTTTTTTTTTTTTGAAAAAGAACAATTTTATTTATAAAAATAAAAAGTACAGGACAAGAATACAAATAAAAGGAAAATACAGAAATACAGAGAAAAAAGAAAACATAATAAAAAACAAAAACTAGACCCAAGGGAAATCTCTTGATTGTGATCTAGTCCTCATGCTGTGTCGCCTTTTGTTTTGCTGAGATTTCCTGTAAAGTTTTAGTTGTGTGTTCAGGTTGTCCGTCGGTAGGCAATTTTCGGAGGTGACAAGCTTTGCTTTGCGGCAAATCGTTCTATTGAATTTGGAGTTCCTGATTTCTTCCTGGTTTGATAAAGGAGGGCGACGATCACTTTCAGTCGCATGACCTAGAAAATCGTCTGAGAAGAAAGATTCATCAGAATGCTCAAAGTTGTCTGAAGCGTCAGAGTAAGCCTGAAGAAGTGGAATTTGTGGTTGTTTCTCAAGGGAGAGGAGTTTTTGCTTCCCGTTATAGGCTCGCTGCACTTCATAGTTAAATATGAGTTTGGAGATGGTTATATCCTCAGTATTAGTTGAGGTATCATGCTCCCAATGTCTGTGTTCCTCCTGCTCTAGATTAGATAATCCAACAAAATTAGAAAATAATGTCAAAAAGTCATTGAGCTTTGAATTGTGTGGGCCCGTGGGGACTAGAATTTTGCTCCCCTTATCCTTAGCAATCTTCACATAACAACCCGAACTGTTTCGTACTGAAGAGATCATGATAGGCCCAAATTTTTTGCACTGCCTAAGATTAATGTTACCTGAGCATGAAAGTTGTTGAATAAAACTGTAGATCTGGGTTGCAATCACAGTTTTAAAACTAATCCTTTTTAGTGAGGATTTTTGAATTTCAAAAATGACTATTTCTGTGTTTCTGATAGCGAATCTAAATAATTTAGATTCAATTTTAATGGAGTCAAAACCCTCTTCTCCAAAAAAATTGAATTTTTCAGAATCCTCGGTAGAATCTGATGTGGCTTGAGAAGGGATGGCCGGATATATAAAACCGTTGGTCTTAGTGACCTGGTTGAAAATATGGTTTTCATCATCTTGTGCGAGTGGTACCAGGCGTCCAATCGAGCTGCCTTTGTCCCCTTTCGATTCACACCGAACAATTTCAGCCCATGTGATGGTACGAGCATTGCCAGGCGGGTGATATTCCATGCCAACCAGGCTGCCAACGCAATTAATTGGTGAGGGTCCCTGCCTCGAGGGAGATGCAATCTCCGATCTGAAATCGGCCGGCCTTCTGTCTGGTCCGCCTTGAGCAGTTGGTGATGGTCTCTTACCAGAGTTGTTCTCAGTTCGTTCTTGAACTTGCGAACTAAAACCCACGCACATAACCTGCAATTCCGGTGTGACGACTTTGTCCTTTCCACCGGTCCCCTGCACACTTGGTGAAATCAATGGATTTTCACAATCCGTTGCATCCCTTTTTTCCAAATTGGCCGGCGTTGAAGAATAGCCCTTTGTGACCCGGATTCGCCTCAGGATTCCTCCCTTCTCTGGACCATTTGGATTTCCAATTTGAGGTTTCTTTTTATGGCCTCCTGTCCGGCGAAAATTGCTGGACACAGTGCTTTGACCCGTATCCTTTTTCGAGAGATCTGGGCGGTTGTGTCTTATTTGTTTAAGGTCTTGATAAAAAAGGGGGTGGGTTGGGATATCATCTTCCTGGTCTAATAAAGAAAAACGATTTGACTTACTCGTTGACCATTGGTTGATGTACGAAGTTCGCTGATTTAGATGGTGGGTGGGGCGTCGACGACTGCGTTTGGTATGGACGTAGTACCATGAATCAGCTAGAGCCTTGGTGTTGTAGTGAGGCGTTGCGTGGAAGGGACTGCTGAGCTCCGGCTGTTGATGTGGATACCATTTCAGTCGTTCCTTGTGATTCTGGTACCACAGTTCAGGCTGTTGGTGCGGATATCAGTCAAGTTGATTGTAGTACTGTGATTTTGGGTAAGAGATCTGATTGTGAGGCCTCCTTTCGTAACCCCTGAGATGATGGTGGATCGCATGTGGGTGAATCCCATCGCACAAGCCAGTGAATGATGGCGGGTGAAGAAGTTCAGACTCATTAGGTCCATGGTCAAAGTAGTGATAGGGGGGATTCCGGCGTTGTGAGTATGGATGCCTGTAATCCATTTTAGGATTCGGTAGGCTTCCGGTGACAATGAGGAGTTCTATACACTCATAGGTATATGGGTGGGTTGGGGTTTTTAGTCAAGAATATTGACTATTACTATTTTTCCCAAATAAAACGGTGATCTACGGATCAGATATTTTCCAAGTATATATATACTAATAAGTATTTCATAACTTGGGGGAAAGACTATTTATTTAAGTATCACTCTATGTTTGGGTCTTATACTTGAAACGCTAGTTATTCTATATTTTATAGTTGGTAACAGTCTAGAGGGGGTGGGGGGGTGGGGGGGTGAATAGACTGTTATAATTTTTTTCGAACTTTTCTCTAAGTCAGAGTTGACTTATCAGAGAGGGTCGAGTTCTGATGATCAGAACTGGGTCTTGCAGCGGAAAAGAGTTCCGGGTAGCCTCAAGCAGATACTAAGGCAAGTGCCCTTCTGATAACTCTGAGAACAAGATCTGCTGAACACAGAGTCCAAGTTTTTAGGGAGTTATGCAGTTAGGTTCTAAAGTGCAGAAAGTAAATGCGTAAAGTAAATGACACCAGTGTTTTTATAGTGGTTCAAGGAACAACACGTTCCTCTAGTCCACTGTTCCACTAAGCTTTGAGGTAAACAGTTACAAAGCTTTAGCCCTAGCACTTAAGAAGTTCTCCACGTCTTCTTCAAGCCTAGATGTCACCCGGGATGTAGTCCTGCTTCCTGATGACTGGTCCTTTCACTCAGCTTCCCGGAAGTATTACCACTTCACTACTGCAGTTACTTGGACGCCCTTCTTTGCAGAAGATGTTCTGAAAAATAGAGTTTTTCTCCAACTTGCTTCGTTACAAAGGATGTGTTGATGAAGATCTTGAAGTGTTGAAGAACTAGTGGAACTTTGCTCTTTGTTGGGTTTGAAGGATTTGAATAGAATTGATCTTCCCAACGTAAGCTTGTCTTGTTGATGGTTGTGGAGGTTGAATCTCAAGAAAGCTTTTTGAATGATTAAGAGAGCAAAAGTTATCCGGTTGTTCTTCATGAGTATCCTTTTATACTGGGAGTTTCCTGCCCGTTGGAGGAGGAGACAACTGCATTGAATGCGCATACTGTGGAGTTGACCGGTTGGACCCGCAGTTTTGGCAGGTTTCTATTTTTGTATAATATTCTCCAGGAATCTCGGTCAATCATCTGCAATTACTCCACAACGTATCAGGCTCATTAAATGAGCATTAAATGCTTTCCTTTGATGAAATATCTCCTAGCCGTTAGAGGATTTTCCGTTTGTTATACGGCCGTTGAAAGCAGCTTCGAAATCTTCTAAGTGTCCATCCAGGTCTGATGAGATTCTCTGATGGCATTCTGACCTTGGATTCTGATGAACTTAGATAGGGAACTCTAATACTTCTCTGAAGTTGAATTCTGATGAAGCTTTACATCGAACTCTGATGGTTCTCTGATGAGCAGCTCTGATGCTTCTCTGAAGAGAAACTCTCATGGAGCAGTTCTGATTAGATTCACATAGAGCAACTCTGAAGGCAATTCTCAGCTCTGATGCTTCTCTGACGAGCAACTCTCATGAAGCAGTTCTCCTAGCAGTTCTGATAAGATCCACAAGGAGCAACTCTGATTGTCGACTACACTAATACTTACAATTGAAAATTTCTAATACATACAATCTAAGCACTCTAAAATTCTAATTTATCCTAGCCTAACATCATCAAAATCTAATTACATTTATTCCTTACAGTCTCAAGGACAAATATCAAGTGCTCCTCATGTTCTTCTTCACTCTTTGAGTAAATCAAGATGTCATCTATGAACACAGTCACGAATCGGTCTAAGTATTTATGAAATACTCGGTTCATCAAGTCCATGAATGCCGCTGGGGCGTTTGTTAACCCAAATGACATAACAAGAAATTCAAAATGTCCATACCTTGTGCGAAAAGCACTTTTTGGTATGTCATCTTCCTTAATCTTCAATTGATGGTAACCCGACCTCAAGTCGATCTTTGAAAACACCGTTGCCCCTCATAGTTGGTCAAACAAGTCATCAATCCTAGGCAAAGGATACCTATTCTTGATTGTGACCTTGTTCAGTTGACGATAGTCAATACACATTCGAAGTGTCCCATCTTTCTTTTTCACAAAAAGAACAGGCGCTCCCCCAGGGAGTGGCTGGGTCTAATGAAACCATTATCCAAAAGCTCTTGCAATTGGGTTTTCAACTCGGTAAGTTCAGCGGGTGCCATACGGTATGGCAGTATGGAGATTGGTTTGGTACCAGGCTCGACCTCGATCACAAATTCAATCTCCCTATCAGGTGGAAGCCCCGACAGGTCTTTTGGGAAGACATCCGGGTACTTACAAACCACCCTCACGTCGTCGATGTTCACTTCCTCCTTGGTTTTGTCAACCACGTATGCTAGATATGCGTGGCATCCCTTTCTCATCATACTCCTTGCTCTCACGGCGGATATGATACAGCTATTTGATTTGCCTCGGTCCCCCTTGAAACGTAGGGTGTCCCCATCATTGCCTTTGAGTTCCAAAACCTTTTTGTAGCAATCTACCCTAGCATGATGCTTTTCTAGCCAATCCATCCCTAGGATTGCATCGAACTCCATCATACTCAGCGGTACAAAATCACACGTCACGGTTTGGCCACCGACTTCCACCTCACAAGATGGATAGTAATAGGTTCTTTCAACGTCATCCCCTAGTGGTGTCGATACCACTAAAGTTTGCGTCAACGGCATTGGTTGTATCTCTAAGCCCTCAGCGAACGCCTCACTCACGAATGAACGTTGCGCCCCGGTATCGATAAGGATTCGCGCATCCTTCCCATTAATCTTTAGTGTCCCTACATTCATGAACCATGTAAGACATCTTTCCTACCCTCCCTACTCATTTATAGAAGGTTACAATGTTCACACACACGTTAGGGATCAAGAAAAGGTCTTAACGTCGCAAAACGGTGCGAAAAATCGGTTTTCGGCAATCTGGGTGCCAGGCACGGCGTGCCTGGGGGTAGGCACGATCGTGCCTGGCTTGGAAAAATCCTAGGGAGCTACTGCCATGCAGGCACGATCGTGCGTGCCATTAGGCACGATCGTGCCTGGGCGAAAACAGCCCGAAACTACCCGAAATCCTCCCGGTTCGACCTCAAAGCTTCGTGCAATGATCCCAACGACTAGTAACTTTAATTTATGGACTAATTAAGGATAAAACACAAGTATACAAGAGGTAATACCTGCAACGAAATCTGGGTTAGCTTGAGCATCCGCCTCCGTCATCGCATAGACTCTAGCTTGAGTCCTTTCTTGATTCACCGATGGTGCGTTGCTCGTGCTTGCTCCTCCATGCCCCCTAGTTAATTGGGAACCCCGGGCTTGGTTTCTCGTCCCCGTAGCCCCGCTACTTGGTTCTGATGCCCTCGTTCCGCCCAGTTGTGGGCAACTCATCTTCATGTGCCTGGTGCTCCCGCATTGGTAGCATCTAGGAGGGTCACGACATTTCCCCAGGTGGTTCCTCTTGCAATTCTTGCAACGAGTCACCCCTGAGGCTTGTGATTGCCTGCCCGGGCCTTGACTTCCCCTAGATGGTAGTGGGGGTGTCCGAAAATATCCTCCTCCATGGTTTCTCTTTTTGTTAGGACTCTGAGGTCCATGGTTCTCCCACTTTCTCTTCTTCGCCTCTTCGGCGTTTTTCAACTTCCTTTCTTCCCATTCCTTCTCTCCTTTCAATCCCTGCTCGACCACCTGGATAAAGGTCATGTTAGGCAACTGTGTTGCCCTCTCACGCACCTCCAAGTCTAAGGCATTCCAGAAGTGATTTACCATCCTGTTCTCGTCACAGACATACTCCGGTATGAACTCCGCGAGCTCCCTCAATTTATGTTCTAGTTGCCTCACCGTCATTTTGCCACCTTGGGTCAGGAGGGTATACTCTCTCCTCTTAGTGTTCGCCTCAAAATCAGAATAGTATTGGGCAAAGAACTCCTGTCGGAAATTCTCCCAAGTCACGGTCCTGCCATACTTTCCCTTGGCTCCATCCCACCATGTGGATGCCGTCCCTTCAAGCAATCTCACCGCCACCCTTAGTTTAAATTCGGGGGTGAGTTGCATATCAAGGGCTGCTTCGTTCAACCTCTTGATCCATTCTGCGGCGATCGAGATGTCAACTGCTCCGTTGAAGGTTTTGCACCCCAAGTCTCTCGCCTCCTTGAGAAATTTTGAGATCCTTATGATTGGACCTCCATCACCCCGGCCCCCATGTGGTTCAATGTGGGCCCTAGAGTCGCCATGGATTCTTCCTCTTGAAGCCCCACCCGAAGTTCGCCCTCCCCGGCGCCTTCGGCGGTCCCTCCTTTCCTCGCGCTCCCGCTGATATTGCTAGAGCAGCGCCTCAATTCTTGCTAGGGAGTCATTCTCCCCTTCTTCATCACTTACATCATCGCCATCCCCTTCGTAAGGGGTCTCAACCGGCTCGGTTTCCGGTTGGTAAGTCGAGTCCTCATAGGACCAGTAGGTTTCATCCTCGGTGTCAACATGACCGTCGCTCACAGTGTGCGATCGGCCTCCACGGCTCGCCCCTCTAGACACTCTCGAGGTCCCACGGCTTCCCTGCCCGGTCGCCACCGGTGCACGGCCCGTCGGGTTCCTTCTCGTAACCTTGCCACCACCGTCCATTTCTGAAAGAAATTCGGAAAGAGTCGTTAGACTCGTATCAAATGTCAATTGACGGATAGGTACTTAAGACACATTTTGGCTCGAGTCACCGCCATACCAATTGCTAAGGGTACCATCTTAACAATTAGAGACCTTGCAACCCAAGTACCAAAAGCTCTCCAAGTACAAAACTTCTATGCTCATGGTTTTCAAAATATTTTCAAAAAGAGAATTTTGAGACTTCATTATGAAGTTTATGGACTAAGGCTCTGATACCAATTAAATTGTCACGCCCCGGACCTACCCGGACACGTCAACAACCCGTCGTACAATACGAATAGTCAACCACAGTCAAGCACATTCATATTATACAAGGCGTCGCGAATATCATTCACCCGTAAGCCATCCATAAACAACATAATTAGCAATCGAATATGTAGCGGAAAACATAGTTTGAAAACAAGTGCCACACGTGGCAAACATGAGCACGCAGGCTCTATAGTAAAAATTCATGAGCATGTTTATTAATGTTTAAAAACAGAATGGAGGGAGCACGAACCAAGTCTTCCCTCCTAGATGATCTCTCGAACAACGAGCACAGGAAGCAAGCTCTAGCCTCAACCTGAAAAATGGTAGTGGGACGCCCCCGAAGGGGTCAGCACTCTATAGGGCTATAAAGTGCTGGTGTGGATGGCATCTATTAGATATACAACAAGTATTTCAAACACAAGACCCTCAAATAGGGTGATAATATAATCTAGGCCGTAACCCCCAGTTACCCCTTTTCAAAATATACTTACTTTATATATAAAGTCAAGTAGTCGGCCCGTAGGCCCAAGGTTTGTTTACCAAACATAGCCCAAACCCCGTGACCCCTAGTCACAACAAAACATTAGGTTCAACCCTAACACACATGGTTGCATTTCTCGAGTCCAACTCGACTACATCACCATGCGCCTTATTTAACACAAGTTAATTACTCCTCCGTGCATTTCTTGAGTCCAACTCAACTACATCACCATGCACATCAATCACCACATCATGTCTACCCAATGCAATTCTATGAGCACGGGCTCAAGTACATCTCCTTACATTGGCATAGACCCCAATTCCTAAGCACTTGCTATGCCTAGAATTTGTAATATCGATAATCTATTTTGGGACATCCTTACGCACTGCCCAACCATGATCTTAGCATCACATTACATCAATTTAGTCACTTGCATCACAATCAAGTACATCAATTACAATCAAACCCTTAGATTCAATTCCTTATCAATTACAACAATCATTAACTAGTATTTCAATACTATTAAGATTAATCTTATCCATCATATATTCCATTTGTAAAACCCTACATATTTAGAGATATGTAGCAGCAACTTAACCTTCCAATGTAATACATAAATAATCATTTATGTATCTACACAATTCACACATGAGTAAAATGCCTATTTCACACAATAGTTCATTTAACTCCATTTTTATCAATACTTTACCAAATCATTTCCCATTTCATTCTTTGGAAAATAGATCAATATTACATCAATAATTTATCATCATAATCCATTGAAAACATGATTTAGGCATTTAGGTAATCTCATGCTTAACCTACAAGTTGTAAGCAACTAGATGTCGATCCTCACCTCAAATGAGCTTTAAAACCTTCCTTCTCGCTCCAATGACCAAAGCCTCGGCCAAGAAGGTTTGAGAACTGATTCCTTGCTTGGAATTGAGTGTTAAACAGCCTCCTCAAAGTGCAAGTTCAACCCCTAATCGTTGATACGAAAACGGCCCCTAGAATGGGTGTTTTCCGGTTAACTCGTTTCCTAGTTTTCCAATATTTGCTATAGGTTAGTATCTAACCTTTACATCAATAAAATAACCTTATGAAGACATACTATACACTTGGAGTAGTGTATAATAGTTCCACCAATCTTTCATATCATTTGGAAAATGAAAAGTAAAGGTTTGGGGTGAATACTCACTTTAGGAGAGTAAATCCGTTCCTGCGAGGTTGTGTTTTGCTCGGACGATTTGGAAGTCTTTCACTACTCAGATTGATGCAAACCAGACTTTCACAGATTCCTCGTCTTGAGAGCTTTCTTTTGGTATCTTATACGCCTTAATTGGACGAGTCAATCTCAAGTTATTGCTCAAACAATCAGCACTACGCACTGAAGAACGAACCTGCGGACTGCTCTCTTCCTTCCTTCTCTCTTGGGTTGTGTGGATGCGTTTTGCTCTCTTATCTCTTTGGGGTTCGAATGGGGTGCAGGGGGGAGTGTATAGGAGACCTTAAAAATGCTAAGAGAGCATGTGGCTCACAAAAGAGCATGGGAGATATTTGGTTTGCAATCAAATATGGGGTGGACCTCCCCCTTTTGTTTTTCTTGGAGTTTTTTGTGCATGTGAGCCAAGAGTCCGCCCCATATAGTCATCTCACCTCTTTTCCTTTGTTTTGCAGGTACCAAGTCCATGTGGAATGGTTCCCAATTGACCCCATTCAACTTGGGGTCCAAAATATCTACCAATACTTCCAAAAATGGGAAAATGAGTCCTATTGTTTTATCTTTTGCTAAAAGATGTCTCTTGTACTCATCCTAATTTATTTAGAACAAGTCAACTTCCTACATCACATTATTGATCTCCAATATGTGTAGGCTCATCTCAATAATTTACATGATGAATATTATAGAAGGAAAAATCATACTCCCATTATTCAACTCAATAATGTCAAAAATGTGACCATAGGCATTTGTATTCTTCTCTAGTCATTCTATCACTTATTTTGACATTGTCATTCATATTATTGGACTACTATCCATGTGGGTCACCCTCGAGTGAGCCTAGGACGCCATCCTTGAATACTTACTATTTTTAGCAGGTTGAGCCCAAAATAATGTTTGGGCCGCCCAACCCTCCTCAACTTGTCTTGAAAGGTTATGTATCACTATTTAGATAATGTTAGGCTCTTTTATTTATTAATAAGACCCAAACGAGTATTCGCAAGCCCGACACTAATATACGAGTTCGAACAGTATAATAATCGATCATTAATTACGTAAAACAACAATCGTTTTACAATTGTTTGGGAATCATAAATTCAATACATAAACTTTGAATTTTTAAATTGAAATTTCAAGGACGTTCGGGTGCGGTGTCACAACGTCACTTAGTTATACGGCGGTTGTACACGCGCTTGGATTGCGGTCTGGGGCGTGACAATTGAACCATGAGAAAATATCAACCGTAGTGAGTGCCTCCTGTAGAGGATCTAATGTGAACAATTTATGTATATGTTTCACACGTGGCTAAATCTAGGAGATTAAGCCCTGAAGGCTAAATGACTTTACTCTTTTCCTTTACTAAGTTTTTCCCACGTGGTTTTCTTAGTTAAAGGTTTTTAATGAGGCGGTCAATTTAACACATCATTTTTCTTAGGGGTTTTCCAACAAGATTTTTAATGAGGCATACACACGGTACAATGAAGAGTTAATAATCATATTGGATCAAATTCAACAAAGTCCTGAAGTGATGTAGTCAACATAGTAGTATACACGCACGCAGTCAACAGGGGGAGTATATATGCATGCAGTCAACATGGGGAGTATAGACTCGATGCACTCTTTTTTCCCTTGATCAAAGTTTTTGTCCCACATGGTTTTCCTTGACAAGTTTTTTAACAAGGCAACATCACCAACGCGTATACAGAAAATAAAGTCTTTCATATTATATTTTCTCGTAATACTTTTATTTAGTAATGTACATCCAAGGGGAAGTGATATGTAATTATGGATGTCCATTAGTCCCCTGCCCAAGCCCATATATCCGGCTCATCTCATAAATGTAATCCCTAGCTCCCCCATGATATATATGATGTATGTGAATGAAGTCTCGTAGCTTTTGGGTCCAGTTTACAATAAATATAAAGATGAATGCAAAAGTGTATATGACCATCAAATTATTATGGAATATTGCATACGACAAACTTAATTAAACACGTCAAAAAGAGAAAAAACAAATGATAATCATGTCAATAATCGTCTACTTTTATTTTAAAAAAAGCAACACCAGGAGGTCCATTAAAAAAAAGACCAATGAACGGAGAAAATGATAATCATATATGGGAATATTCCGTATGAAGTAATAAAAGAGGACAAATGTGTCCAATAATACGGAAAAAGGTGCGCCTAGCACCATTAGTGGTTACCGGAGATAATCCGCCCTCTGTATAAGAAGAGGTGATGTTTCATGTAGAGTACATGTTACCATAATAAAATATCATTCCCACACCGTGAACTTGTATGTCTATAGTACTCATTATATGGGGTTTTAAAAGTCTAAAGTGCAGTTGATTTCATGTGAATTTCTCTTGATTGTTGGTAAAAAAATGTTTGATGGTTTTATGTCCCGACTTACTTAAATACAATATTGTTAGTAAATATTGGCTTTGAATAATTTGGGAAATAAAACCATCAAAACATATTTTCCTAAATATTATTTTAATATTCTCTAGTGTCACTTGTAAGAGGTATATATATTTATATATTTCTTGTACAATACAATATTGTTAAACAATAATATTACATTGAAGAAATTAACCACATAAAGTGGTTACTCAGCTCGAAGAATATATAATCATTCTTTCATTGTCATTTTAACCCAAATTACAACAAACACATCCTATATTCATCTAGGTATATCCAGAAACATTTTAACAATTTAAAGTCATTCTTTCATGTTCATTTGGTAAGTCAAATACAACATCAAAAACATTAAATGGCATAAAACTATCTTTTTACGGTTTTACCTAGAAAATAGTGTGAATAACAACCTCTGGTTGTGATAATAAATTTTCCCGGCTCAAGCTCTATCCCCACATTCTTCTCCGGTCTCAACGGAATGAGAACGAAGGAGAATTCTTCGCCTGATCTAAATTTTTCTATTTTTTAAGTTCTGATCTGATCTGAATTTTTCTGATCTGATTTGATCTGAATCTTTCTGATCTGATCTGAACTTTTCTGATCTGAATCTTTCTGATCTGATTTGAATATTTCTATAATTATAATTATAAATATTATAATTATTATAATTGTAATTACAAATATAATTTAAATAAATTATAATTATAATCCTAATTATAATGATGATGATGATGATGATGATAATAGTCTTCTTAATAATTGCATTTATATTACTATTATTATATTACAATATTATAATTATAATTAATATCTTATTTTTTTCATATTATTATTAATATTATTAATAATAATTATATGATAATAATAATAATAATAATAGTAATAACAATATTAATAATAATATTAACAATAATAATAATAATTAATATAATAATAAAAGTGATAAATCATGTTTGAAGTTTTCTGATCTGATCTGAATGTATCTGATCTGGTCTGAATCTTTTTGATCTGAATCTTTCTGATCTGAATAAAATAAAAATAAGCAATAAGTAATATGAATAAGACGAACGGAACAACACCTAAATTGTATTTACTCGCTCGTCTTCCTCCGTCTTACTCACTCGCATTGACTTTGCTTCAGCGCCCTACCTTTCTCCACCTACGCTCTTTACTTCTTCTCCAAATAGCTGCACCGCTTCTGTAGCTATTAAAGTCGAAGGAAAGCTTCGTCAAACCACACGCTACACCTCCTACCTGCGTTGAAGTGAAGACCCGGAAAGTATCGCTGCTAGGAGCACCGGACATCACGAAATCTCCCAAATCTTCAGTCGGGTCGTGTTCTGTCAACAACTTAATGGTAAGTGTGAAACAAATTTTAAGTATTTACTTAAAATTGATCGGAAATAATAATATGTGAAAATATTGGGTACAATCTCTAAATATGAATCCTCTGATTCTTCACTTGCAATTTGAAGTAATATAATTAAAGAATTTAATTTAAAATTAAATTTCTAATCCTTCAAATATTCAAACGTTCTTCGAATCTTCGAATCTTCGAATCTTCGTTCTTGAGGTCTTCGAATCTTCGTTCTTGAGGTCTTCGAATCTTCGAATGTAACGCCCCTCTCAGGGTTAAAGGAAACGTTACACTAACTTACTATTTTTAAAAATAACTGCAATATAATGGCCATCTATTTAAGAAAATAACCCTGATAAAATCTCAAATATATCTAAAATATAGCTCCAAATAAAAACTCAATAAAATCTAGTTATCACCAGAAAATGTGATAACCACCTGGATCCAGGAATTTACTGAACTTCAAATCCTCAAATAAAAATAAAGTAATATTTATCACTTTATTATAACACTGAAATACTGAAACAAAATAATATCTAGCTAGAAGCCGCCAAGGTCGTTCCCGTTAACTCATCTTGGCACACGTTCCACTCTCTCATCATCTTCCTCGGCCTAGGCCTTACCCTCAGCTTTAGTATCTGTACATGCGAAGAAACAAAACTGATAAGCTTTACGCTTAGTAAGTCACTATGGATCCACAAAAATATGTAGAAGTCTATGCCAATTTATCAATAGATAAATTTAGGCTATAAGCATGCACTGAACAAATAACTAACACACAACTTCTCAAATACATTCTGAAGGAGATCTCAAAAGGAAAATATTTTTTTAAAATAATTTCTCAAAAATGTTGGAGAGATCTCAAAATTTCTTTCTCAAAACATCTCTGTAAAACTTTCTGAAAGAGACCTCAAAAACAACTTTCTGTAAAACTTTCTGAAAGAGATCTCATTAAACTTTCTACTCTTTGTGGCTAATTTTAACTGTGGGCCCGTGATATGTACTCAAAGGCGCCAATCCGACAGTTCAGGGGAGCGACCCACTAAACATATCGGACTATCTGAAACTGAAAACTGCTAATCTGAAAGAACTTGTTCCCGAGTACATATCACCTTATCTTTCACTTTAAATATTAGTTCTTTTTATGGTGACGTTTGATAAAAAAACATCATTAAATCTGAAAACTAAAGAACTGACAAAATCTCGACTATGCTAGATAATAAACACAACTTAATACAGCAAATAATTCACCAGGTTCACATAATAGCACATAGACTAAAATCATCTATTAAAAATTAACTAGACTTCTTTCTTTTATTTGGTTGAACAAACATGTACAGGTGGTAGTGAACTTACCTGTAGAAGGTGAACTGAAAATACTCAAATAAGTGTAGCACCTTGATAACGTCTTCCGGTATGCTCTTCCCTTGTATCTTTAATTACGTGTAATAGTCTAATTAGAACTTATCCATCTTTTAAAAGAACTTCAAGATCGACTAAT